ATAAATTTAGTCGCATTGCTTAGTGGTGGCTGATACCCAGTTCCCACTTTTTTTTAGGTTTCGCATAATGGCGCGAGGGCGGGTCCTGCATATTTTCCACTGGGCGGAGTCAAAGCTAAAAATTCACCGCCTTGCAGATGTCACGCCCACCTCGTCTCGATTTTACTTTGAACCGTTGCCTTTATTCTATTACATTTCGAATAATATGTATGTAAGACGATGTGATTTCATTGGGAGTTACATAGGAACTTTAAACATTTAAAACTAGAATATGGTCGATCGCAGTGATGGCTGACTCATCAGTCATACTCGTGAACGAGTACTGCTTGTACGGACTGGTCTGCTCTAATCATTACGACTGATTTACTTTTATTTAGTTGATCAACCAGTTGGTTGTATATTTAATATTTTCTCTATTTGAGTATTTAATTCAATTAGTGCTAATTGGTATTTTGTATTCACACACTTCAACTGAAAATGTAAAGTAGCAATAAAATTATTTAAAAGAGTAACACTCAAGTGTCTTGGTTATTCTTCTTGTGATGAGACAGCTTTCCAAATGAGCCGTATATTAAAAAAAAATGTGATGACTATTGAAAAGTGCTTCAATGTAAGGTTTTTTTAATGAATGATTTTCTATTCTTATTTCATACATCTCCTTAATTTCTCTGATCCATATACCAAAATAGAAAATTATACCATTTATAAATTCATTACAAATCCTAGTTTCCCAAATTTTGATGTTGGACAATTGCACCATAATGCCAAGTCATTACAAAAGATAAAAAGTAGCAAAAATTTTTACTAAATTATTATTTAACGAGTTAATTCAGTGGAATAATAATAATAATAACCATTAAAATAACTACCGTATAGATACTCCAACAAAACATATTTCTTTATTTTAAGTGAAAAAAATCTTCATAGTTTCGACCACCCGTCTTGGAAAATAGATAAGATTATGTCATAGCAACATATATTAAATATTACTCAGCGTTATGCACTTAGATAAATTTATGTAAGTATATTATTATTATATTTATATGTATGAAGGTATTCTCAGAATATGTATAGCGTCGTGGCACCCCGTCACGATACGTGCTGAGCGGAGACTTATTTGTTACCAAAATAAATGCAATATGTAATTTAAACATGATTTTTGCTATTGTTGTGTATCAAATAAACATATTTTCTTTCTGTCTATTAGTATTCACAATAAACTTTACGGTGTTTCTCACTACGCCAAGACAGCAAGTATATTTGTATTCTACCGCGACTGCAGTAGCGAGAGCCCGCTCAGTCAGATGTTTAGAGTCGACCGCTCCTCATTTCTAAAACCCTAAAACAAACCCATAAAAGATGCTTAGAAGGTACGGTAAATAGTATATTCACAAAACTATATACATCAACATGTTTTAAATATGTATCATGCAGTATGTACCATACATGTCACACTTTACTTAGATTTTCTATATCTTGGATAGAACACATTCCAGTTATAATAAATAAAACAACAAATTAACATATATATTTTATTGCACAGGAACAATGAAATATAAAATAAAAATTATATAAATAAATAAATAGATATAGAACTTCAATATCTTTTATGTACTTAAGTAAATATATATATATATATATATATATATATATATATATATATGTTAGTATCAGTGGACTTTAAGAATGTTTTAGCTATCTAACAATAAAATAGTAATTATTAACAAATCAATATATCTATATAGCAAATAATATACAAATTATTTTATTACATTACAAATTCTTGTTCAGGAAAGAATGTATTTTCTTCCTAAATGTCAGACTTTATATCAGTTTTCATCAAGATATTAAAAAAAATCAACCAATATTTGGAAAAATTGTCCCATTTTTCAGATTGTAATATTTTAAAATCTTCACCAATAAGAAAAAATAATTATTAATGTGGGCTATAAACAGTAATTTTATAACTTATTGGGGATTAAAATAAATATTTATAATTATGACCTAGTTGATAATTACATTCAAATTTAATAAAATTTGTTGTTATACTTTAAACTGACTGAATCTTAATTATCATGATGTAACAAAACATAAAACATTCATCCAAGCTTAATTTATTTTATTTATTTCATGCAACCTAATATTTTTATACAACAATATTGCCCCTTATTATATATACCTTAAGGACTATCATATATAGTAAATAGTGAAACATAAAATAAAATTTAGTAATCAGTTTACTTTTTAAGCCAAAATCAATATTGGCCCATATTACATACACCCTAAGGACTATCATATATAGTGAATAATAAAACAAAATAATATTTAGTAGGCAGTACTTCAGGTACCTAGCAGCTCATTTTATAAGGTGTTTCAGTAGTAGAATACTAAATTAGGCAATGAAGTTACTGTACAAGAGGTATGATACCATAGTTCCTTGGAATAGCAAGGCATAAATGATATCACAAGTGTGACATGACAATGTGCTCTCTCTAATTGGTTAGTTACCAGTTATGATCAGATTGTTCACTACAATTACATTAAACAGTTTATCTGGCTTGACTTATCATCTTAACTGCTCTCACATTGTTTTGGCTACTCCACTGAGACATCAGTGTTGTGTTGTCACAGTCCCTGCTGTAGACAGCAGTGTTGACAGTATTGTTCCACCTGCTGTCTAATCTTCCACTTCCTGTCTAATGTTAGCTGTATTGTACTTTAAATCACCTTCAGAAAATACTGATAAGGGTTGCATAGTCACTGAAAATCAAGTTGGGATATACCTACAGACAAATTACATTATATTTATAGACCAATAAGAATAATAATAAAGTCAGTACCTATAGAACTCTAAAATATAATACTATATATAGATAATGTAATATATAAGTAAATACAAATGATGTGTCTGTTTGTAATTTCAACATAACACCTTTTTACTAAACTATATAGCTATATACAGTACTACATATAAAAATAATTAAAAAAATAGTCAGTCTGCCTGTTTTATTTTGATGTGACTTTCACTCACAGGTAGCTAATGCTTAAGGGAGTAAATAGGCTATTTCTAGAACATGTATATCCACACGAAGTCGTGCCGCGTATAAGAGCAAGATTTTAAACAATAAACTGAACACATAATTAAACTAATCTAATATACATTGACCACATAAAAATGCTAACCAATGTTAATTCACTATCCTTTTACAGTCCGACTCTTCGTTCATATAAAGTTTATCATGGTTATTATACGTCTTCCTCACTGGAACCCATGTTTTTCACTTTATCTAATAATTTTCCACGCACAGCAATATATCTGCCATGAAAACTATCACATTTTCGTTTTGGTCACGTAAAATAGGCGGCAGCATATTACTCAGAACCAATGTATTAATTAATTTAACAAGTATATGTTAGTCAAAAAAAATAAAATATTTGTATGATGATACCTTAATTAATACGGATGTACGACGAATGTAGAAGATAATGGAAGATATATTTACTGGTATATGCAGGAACTATATGACATCCTTTAACATAGTAGTATTATTATATGATATCCCCGTAGTTGGTAGGTAACCTTATTAAAACTTGGTATTGCTATTCACTCTCACAAATTATATTGAACAATACAATAAATTTTTGAATGGTAATTGATATTTTTATTTACTCAAACCGGGAAAGACGTATTTTCAATATTATATTATCTGTGGTATTTACTGACAATCTTATAACAAAGTAACGTGATTGGTCTAGACGCCCAAAGGTTGGTTGGTTCAAAAAAAGTATTTTGTATCAACAAATTTCAAGACATCGGTAACGTCTTGATTATAGTCTTAAATGAATATTATTAAATTCAATTAGAGCATGAAAACGAGAATGATTAATGCCAGAAATCTGTTTTTGAACAGACAAAAAGATTGATTATATCGGTAATATTTCCAAATCAATTTTTCTTGGATTATGAGATTTCCGTGCAGAATTACAGATGGCGCTGTGTGAATGTGGGCTGTGTAATCCATCCGAGGTCGCTGACCTATATTTGTCGGAATTAAGTTCGAATTACAAATTTTATTTTTTTTACAATTAAGTCATATTTATCGAAAATATTGCATAAAAACTGTAATGAAAAAAGACAATTTTGTTTTTTTTTTCTTGCTTTGGCTTCGGCGACTTACATTGGTCTATAGACATTTTATAGTTAATGTTAATTGATTTATCTTTTATAACGGAATTTAGTAAAAAATATTTCAACAGCGATGATTTTTATTGAAACCTATTAACCTATATCATTATTCTGCCATATTGTTTTCACATACATTTTGTCAAAACTATATTTAAACTGTACCTATTTCTGTAGAATATTAATATAAATACTACAGGAACAGACTACATTTTGTACTAATATAACAGCAGTTATGTCTAAATTCTATATTGTCTGTTATTGACAGTGCATTTTGATCTAACAGTTTGCTACAGCTTTGTAGGCAACATAATTCCAAACTGACTTTGCTATATGAAAACCAATTAATCCAAAGCCAATGGACACAATAACAGTTGTGTTCCTTGATATATGGGTCAGTAGGTATTGGTCGATAAACCATTTCTAATTAAGTTAATCGTTGTGGATAAGATATTAATGAAACCAAGTGACAGATAATTCTTTTCAGACAGAATTATCTGTCACTTTCGAAATCGCTAAGGATAAACACATGAAAAAAATATGCAGATAAAAAAGTAAAAACCAAATTATATCCTTGTAAGTACACAGAGATTATTTTGGTGCTGAGTGAAACGAAAAATTTATCATATAATATAATTTAAAAACTTTTTGGTATTTATAGCTGTCAAATTACTCTATGAATCGTAGTGTTCTGTGCTATTCATTTTTGTATGAATCTGTGGTACTAATTTATTCGGCGCGGTAAATTGTAATTGTTTGCATGATTTATTTTGAAGATTGATGATTCTTCTCCAAGTGTTTGTGTTGCATTATTAAAAATTACCAATTATCACTGACTGTCTAACAGACTGTATAATCTAATATTTAGTACGAATATAGGTACCTACAAAAAAAAGATTGTAAGGTAGTTTAAACTTTGCGTGACACATAGATTTCATTTTGATTGTAAGTGATATGGATTTGTAACCGCGTGCTATGACTGTATTGAATTTTGAAATTTGATTATTAGTTTTTATTACTCCTAAAATGGAACATTTAAATTCATGGATTTATTTATGGATAACAAAAATGGAAGAAAACGAGATAAGCGGTACGTCGATATTATTTTTAAAAAAGCATATTGTTCGCTGAGTAAGTTTAAGCATGCATATTATGTTAGTCATATCCCCACGTTACAACAACGGCGTTAAAAGACGTAAATGACGTTTAAGAGGTCATGATTCCTGCTCTCGGAGGCGAGACCTGTTCATCTTCGTCATTAAGGCGTGGTATAAAATGTTCTTATTTTCAGAGAGTGCCAAATGGCCCATAATTCTTATGAGAAATGAAGGTCGGAGTGTGGTTTGGGCGGTGAGTTATTGGTTGGGAGTCGACTGCAAAGGTATCCCTGGTCAAGCCTGCCGACTACTGGAGCGTTTCATAAGCATTCGTACCCGAAATGTATACAGACAATTAGGTTAGTATATAATCTCATTATTTACTTGTTGTATTTCATATTCTTGTGTACCGTTCCTATCAAAAATATTCTATTCTAGCTATACCCGCGACATCGTCCGCGTGGAAATTAACTTTATTTTTCTAAAATAAAATATTTTTTCTATAATAAAAGTAACCTAAGTTACTCCTTATAACATCAACTAACTGCCAAAAAAGTCGTTAAAATCGGTCCAGCAATTTTAGAGATTAGCCGGAACAAACAGACAGACAGACAGACAAAAATTGTAAAAAATGATATTATATTGTATGTACCGTATTTTCAGATGCATGTAGTAAAAAACGGTTATTTCAATATTACAAACAGACACTCTAATTTTATTTATATATATAGAAAAGAGTAAGTTTCACCAACAATTGACCCCTCCGATCGATCTCCAGTCCAATTCAAACTTACGAGGGCCTGAGCCGAGGTTCGTAACCTAGCGGTGCCCTCAGACTAAAATCGTATCCGTCAGGTGGGAGTTGGCCTTCAGCCGCTCCATAAGTCTTTTCTTTGGTTTGGAGTGCCATCTGGACTCGTCCGCTATCGTCCGGTGAAGCTGTAAAGGCCAGCTGCGGCAGATAACATAAAGTAGTCCGAAAAAAAGAACAACTGTTACAATATTATATTTAGTATCTACCTACATACATGTGGGTACAATGATTATTGTAAAACATTGTATGCATAACTTTGCAACAATATTATATGTATATTCAAGACTTATTGAATCACTAGCTACATGCCCCGGCTTCCCACGGGTGTACATATATTATATATATATATATATATATCTTCCTCTAGAATCACACTATCTATTAAAAATAACCGCTTCAAAATCCGTTGCGTAGTTTTAAAGATTTAAGCAGACATAGGGACAGCCAGCGACAACGACTATTTTATACTACGTAATGAAGTTTGAGCTTAAATTGATATCAAAAAGTGTTTGCGTAAATTTATCAGGAATCTTGAACTTACTAATATTATAAATGCGAGAGTAATTGTCTGTCTATCTGTACGTCGTGCTTTATAGCTAGTGGTTAATATAAATAAGTGAATTTTCTAAATGTCGACGTCTGAAATGTTTATTCGGCAGATTTATGTACGATATCTTTGCTTTGTACAGATATAGATGAAATGAGAAACGTACATCAGATATTAACGACGCAGTCGCTCTTGTACGTGGCGTGTTGTGTTAATCTGGCGTCTAAGATGTGTAGCGCAGCTCTGTCTCGCGGCACCCATATGATACAGGAATACTTGGCAGAACACGGCTTTGACTGCTCTTGTGAAGTTATTAAATCTACAGAAAGCGATATCTTTAGTACCCTAGGTTAGTAACCTTGTAACTCAATTCAATAATTTTAGTAACCTCGTCTTGTGATGGGTCTGCATTCCGAATGAGCGGTAGAATAAAAATTGTGAGTATCCAGAAGTGCTTATATTAATTTTATTTGTATAAAGATTATTTCTATTAGTAACCTAGTAACTCAATTATAGTTGCATTAGTTACATAGAATTTATAATGAGAATTGTGGTGTTGCTTTTACTCAATTCAAAGTAATAAAGCAATTTGATGTTGCCAGTTTATAATGGATTTCACAGTTTTTGTTCGTCTGTTTATTCTTGTTAATTTTGAACCGATTTAGACAGGACTTACACTCACAGATACTCAATGATTTGAGTATCTGTGAGCGTAAGTCCTGTCTGAATTATTCTTGATTTGATAATCAAGAATAATTCATGTAGCACATTTTACTGGTTATAAACGTCACATAGTATTTAGCAGAACACGGCATTGACTGCTCTTGTAGGGTTATTAACTAAAAAAAGTGATATTTAGTACCTACCCTGGGTTAGTAACCTGTAAACCCAATGTAACAATTAGTTATATAGTACCTACTTACGATGAGAATTGTGGTGTTGCTTGTTTCTATTTTATCGCCATTGTTTTTGTTGCCAATCTAGTGGCAACTCGTAATTATTCAACCGCCATTTGCGATGAACAATTCCCATACCACAAGCTTTAGCTAGCTTCACCTGTATTACATGGCGCTGTTTGAATTGTCCTGTGATTATTATTAGGTTAATAGAATAAATGATTTTCTATTCTATTTAATTGACACATTTTTCAGGATTCCAAATACCACTATACACTAGCGTAGAAGTGGCTGAGATAATAGCAATGGATGTAGGTCTGCCCCAAGATTTGATAGAGGAAGTGGCAGTACTTACCAACCTGCTGGAGTACCGGCGGGACAAGCTGACGGATCTCATCCAGATATCTGTAGTACTAGTGCGGTTGACGGAGTCTCTGGGTTAGTATAAAACTAAATAATTTAGTTTTTGGATACTCAGACGATACGTAAATAGAAATATTCGTTACTAGAGGTGCCTACGATTTTTCCTGCGTTAAATTTCAATATATAAATTTCTTCAACATTTTTTTAGCAGGTAGCTGATGTAATAAGGAGTAACTTAGGTTACTTTTATTTTAGAAATGTAAATTAAATTCCACGCGGACGAATTCGCGTGTACAGCTAGTTTGCAAATATAATTGAATTTACAGCAGATTCAGAGTAGAAAGTGATCTAGACAAAGTGGTCTAAGAATAACAATATTTTTATATCGTACCGTAGTAGGTACAATACTGGATTTAAATGCAAGGAATTGAATCCGCGAAAATCGGTGCAGCCGCGGAGGTGTGCTAAACGGCGGTTGACCAATAATGGTATCTATTTATTTGGCTCACAGAGTTCACTTCACTTCGGATGATCCACATAACAGCCGGAGCTGTGGCTACAGTTATTATACAACATAACTTAGTGGATGCAACATCATCTAGACCTACACCCATCATTCGACTCCAGCGCCTCACTGAACTGCCCTTCACATTATTAAGGTATTTTTTATCACTATTGCACCATTTACAGAAAAATATCTATACATATAAATAAAATTGGAGTGTCTGTTTGTAATATTGAAATAACCTTTTTTTACTACGTGCATATGAATATAGATACGGTACATACACTAAAATAATTTTTTTTACAATTTTTGTCTGTCTGTTTGTTCCGGCTAATCTCTGAAATGGCCGGACCGATTTTGACTCGACTTTTTTGGTAGGTAGCTGATATAATAAAGGAGTAACTTAGGCTACTTTTATTTTCTTAAGGACGAAGTCGCGGGTACTATTTTTATTTTAGAAAAAAAGTAAAATTCCACGCGGACGAAGTCGCGGGTACCCCTTAGATTTATAGTGTGATGGTACGTAAACAATATTTTACGTAAAAAATATAGTTAGATATCAATAATTGAAATTGAAGCTGAAGAATATACAAAAAATTAAAGCTATTAGCAATCTTCCAGTAGTTTCTTCATACGCAGAGCCATAAAAATACCCAAAAAACAGAAAAAAAATGAGGTAAACAAGACTTGTGTCATCCAGTATTATTCCATCCACTACTACTGTATTCAAAAATTGTTTTCTACTTTCCTTCTTTGAAGGTAAAAAAGATATAAATAGACATAGATATATCTAAAGATAAAATAAACAAACACGTTAAGTTACATATAATATTTTTGCAGGTGCATCGTCAATTCCATTTATGATATTGTAAGAATGTTAGACAAGGAGCGAGAAGAGAGAGATAGCAAATCCTGAAACAAGTGATCGTTACAGATGTTGTTGTAATTGTAATTTATAGGTAATTGTGTTATTAACGATCAAATATTGAACTGTTCTCTTTATTCAAATTCAAAATATCTTTCATGTAGGTCTATTACAGACTTACGATATATCAAATCTACCGTCAGTTCGGAATAATTGCCAGATGAGAGGAACTGACAAGAAACTGGGCTCGTATTCTTTTTCAACCATATTTACTCCACTACATTAATTATATTATTTACAGCATAGGCTGTACCAATCACAGTTTTCAGCCATTACAATATATAATTTACATTATTTCCCTGTTGATTAGTTTTAAAACCATGGTTTGTTACATTATTATGTATACTAATGAAATAGTATTCAAATATATAGTGTAAGAAAAACTATTAATTGTTACTATGCAATTTTGTTAATATGAGTTTATTTACCTATTTTTTTTAACTGTTAAGTAAGGTAACGCAACATGTGAAGTACCTAGTTACTAAACTCAGCAAGCTTTTCTTCATATAGTTACGTTGGTGTACCTAGTTACTAAATTCGTTACTTCATATATGTAGTTACGTTATAAGTTTTGATTTATTTTATACCTAGTATAATTTCTTGTTTTTATGGATAGTTCTGAGTTTATTTACCTATTGTTTTAACTGTTAAGTAAGCAAGCATGTAAAATTACACAACTTATGAAGTAGCACCTAGTTACTAAACTCGGCAAGCTTTACTTTATATACTTACATCAATTTGATTTAGTTTACACTTATATGTAAATTTCTTGTTTTTTAAAGATCTAAATATTAGGTCTTATTTTTTGTCAGTAAAAGTGATCTTTATATATTTAGTAAGTGTTAAAATTTCTTACATAAATAAATCATTTAAACTTCAACTTTGTTTTCATTAACTAAGTAATTATATAACATGATTTTTCCAGTAACAAGTAAGTACAGTAACTAATCAACTACACTATTTAGATTAGATTGTAGCTACAATCACTATGTAACTTAAATACCTAGTAACGACACGGTACTTGTGTACAGCTGTACTCGTTACTTAATAATCGATAGGTATCACTTGCAACAGATCTACCGCTGAATAGTTTTATTTTGTTTACGGCTAATTTATCTGCGCAAATACAGTTGAAATTTCCTGTTTATTCAGTTAGACATATGTCTAACTTAGCAAAGAATAACTTTTATAGATTATAGATATAAATGAAGATTGTAGAAAGTGGCAAAAGTTCCACCGACAAGAGCGTTGCTCTTAAATTTATTAATAAATAGATATAATGTGTTTTAGTTTCAATATGATAAATGGGGTACGGCGAAACAAATATACATTGCAATGGTGGAAAGGTACAGGTGACAGGTAACTTATATGAACATATTGCTCGTGTGTTGTTCGATAGACGAGTCCTGAACAGGTACGTACATGGTAAGTTACATATGTTAAAGAAGCTATAGATGTTTGTAACGTCATAATCCTGAAACTCTGTTGCCTGTGGGGATTGTTCTGTTTCGGAACACTGACTATTTGCTTTTGACAACATTTCAATAGGATATGTGTTATGGGTACTCTATTCTCCCGAATTTGAATTTGAGAAAGAATCTGTATTATTGTAAACATGAACAAGCTTATTTGAAAAGGATACGAGCTGAGTTTCTTGTCAGTTCTCAGCTCGATAGCACTCCGAACTGACGGTAGATTTGACATATCATAAGACTGTAATAGACCTACATGAATAAAGATATATTGAATTCGAATGACAGGAGTCAATAGCACTCTGCCTACCCCATAATGACTTGACGACATGAATATTTATTTCAAAGCTAATAATAGTGTATTAATATAGTAACTAGGTATGTGTCTAAACGCTATCCAATGCACGCTGTTAATTGCCTGCCAGAACATTAGTTCACTAACAGTAGCGAGATTGTACAGAGCTGAGATATTAATCTGTACAGTATTGCAATAATTATTTATGTATATATATCATTCACGTTGCATTCTTACTCCAGTTATTTGTTAGTTCGATATAATTATATGCCAAGTTTTTTTTATAGTTTTATTTTTTATAAAATAATAATAATATATCAGGACAATTCACACAACGTCATCTAGTCCCAAGTTACTCAGAGCTTGTGTTATAGGTACTAGACAACTCATGTAACTACATATTATACATAGAATAATATGCATTTACATGAGCGATACAAACAATCATACTGATGAATACAAATGTTTGTACCTTGCGAGGAATCGAAGCCGCGACCATCGGATAATAAAGCGATGTACTAAACTACTAGACCATCGAGGCTGTCAATTATCTAATTTAAAATCTAAATGTAAATGTAATTTGGACTCTATTCTCCACATTTAGTCTTTTATCTAGGCTGTTTTACGTGTAGAGCCGACATTACTAAAGTAGCCAGCCAAGTTCCTCCCACAAGCGCAAAGGCCTACTGGTGTCTTCACAGGCTTCACGGAGCGACCTCACCACTCCGAGGATTTGTGTTTGTTTTGTGGCGACTGCTAAGCACTCCAGAATTAGGTGAGCGGCCGTTTCTTCGGCTTCAAAGCAGCCCCGACAAAGAGGACTGTCTGTAGCACCTATTGTTTGTTTAAGAGACAGTAACTCGTTCTTGTACCTTTAATTATTTTAAAGCTTTACCTATTAATTGTAATAGATGTTTTGTGAGTCGTGGGTTTGTTACTGGAATTGCCACCTTTGATTGTTTACAATCAATCGATCTAATAGGAATTACAGTCTCTCGTCCCATCTGATGGTAAAAAACAGCCAGAACGATACATTTAATCATACTCATGTATATAAATGTTTGTGCCGTGCGAAGAATCAAACCCACGACCATTGGAAGTGAGGCGGTGTGCTAAATCAATAGATTACCGAGACGTTAAAGATTTTTCTCATACATTGGAAGTATACGATAAATTAGGTAGCATTAGATATGTTAATTGATCGAATGTATAATTATAAATACATGTGGAGTTATCTCCACTAAAACTGTAGAAAGAAATTAATCTATACATATAAATAAAATTGGAGTGCCTGTTTGTAATATTGAAATACCCGTTTCTTATTACATGAATATAAATGCGGTACGTACACCAAAAAAACATTTTACAATTTTTGTCTGTCTGTCTTTTTGTTCCGGCTAATCTCTGAAATGGCTGGACCAATTCTGACGGGACTTTTTTTGGCAGGTAGCTGCTGCAATAAGGAGTAACTTAGGCTACTTTTATTTTAGAAAAATAAAGTTAAATTCCACGCGGACGTATACTAAATAATAAGGACGTACACGTTTTATGTATACCTACAGTGTAAAATATTTATTCAAATTCAAAGTATCTTTATCCATGTATGTACATAGGTATATTACAGACTCTTATGATATGTCAAAGCTACCATAAGTACGGAAATTCGAGAGAAGAACTGACAAGAAACTCAGCTAGAATACGAGCTGAGTTTCTTTTCAGTTCAAATAAATGTTGTACATGTTTACAATGATACAGATGCGTTTCAAATTTGGGAGAATAGAGTGACCATCAGCATATGTTCTGGTAAAAGCAAATAGTCTAATCACTGATTATCCAAATAGACCAGTCCTCAAAAGCAGTACCCGTCCACGAGTATGACGGTTGCACTCCACGATATTAGCGAGCGAGCATGACTGTTTCAAGTTAAGTTATAAATTAATTACAAATACATTGGCGTAACCATTCATATTTCTGATCATAACTTTAGAAGTTATATTAGAATAGATATGAAGCGTGCGGCTCCCCGATTTGCTTTGATCGGTGGAGCGCGAAATATGAGCGCACACTCGGAACTCGAACCTGCGATGCATTTAATATCGACACCAATTATTTCCGAGTAACAATGCACTAGTGCCTACCAACGAAACAGATTGCACGCAATATTTATATTCCGGATACTGATTTAGATGGTACAGAGAGAGTTAATACTTATTTAAAAATCGATTGTATTGTTTCAGTTATATTAAAACACTAGCTGTTCCCGCGACTTCGTCCGCGTGGAATTTAACTTTATTTTTCTAAAATAAAAGTAGCTAGTTACTCCTTATTATTACCAAAAAAAGTCCTGTCAAAATCGGTCTAGCTATTTCAGAGATAACGGAAATGAGTAGCCTAAGTTACTCCTTATTACATCAGCTACCTACCAAAAAAAGTCCCGTCAAAATCGGTCCAGGCATTTCAGAGATAACGGAAATGACTGTAAGTAGGTAGCTACTAACATTATTGACATGCTTGGCGAGTCATATAACTGAATATGAAAGTGCAGAAGAGAGCACAAGAAGAAAAGATATAATAACAAATATAGGTAGATTAATATAATGATCTAGGTAGATTAGATGTTCTTGAACACAGTACAAATAATCAGTCTGTAAAGCTATTTAAGAAATTACTAATTATTATTAAAAAATGCTAAAAAATATTTATTCAAAAAAATGCTCTTGAGCAATGGACTCCATATAGTTATTATTTGTATTATTATCATCATTATTTTGTTTAATTATTTTATTTATTTGTCCACAGAATACAGTGTTACATTCTTACAATATGAATATTCAGCCTGCATACAAGCGTGCAAAATTTATATTCTTAATATTATTATTTTTAATTTGTGAATATTGGGACATTGTTTATGTTTTAGATTTAGATAATAATCTCGTATTTTAAATTGGACACAATATTTTTTAAGAAATAATACTAGTAATATATAATAATAGTTTTACGTTAAAAAATGTTAAATGCATTTTTTAACATACAATATCATTGTTTTTAAAGGTTTAGCAGAACAAAGTTCTCATCAAAATAATTATTTAATAATTAAAGTCATATTAGCTTACAATAGTGTTACTTCTGCTCGATCCCTAGTGAAATATCAAGACTAGTATGACTCCGTAACATGAAATTTAATTAAACAAGATCACAAACGATTGTTACGCAACCGCAAATAATCCACAAAATGTTAACAAGTTATAAAAATTATGAATTAACGTCAACCAGACGAGGGTCAGGGGTGGTAGGGGGCGCGGGGGCGGTACAACAATAGATGCTGCTTTAGGGTGCCCAATAAAAACTTGACAAATGGGGTTTCATAATCGCTTGGCATTCCAAGCCTCGTCATTGCTATCCCGGATTGTGCTCCCCCTTGAAAAATATGTCTCTTGTCCTGAAATTACCTCGTATGGTGACAGTGTCATTACACTAAAAAGATACAGAATCTATTGTATATGTTCTGTATGTCCATTTTGTCCCATGGATAAATGTTAAATATTAAGAACATGTAATAAAACAACCCTGAACAATTACCACAGCGCTGTCTAGTACCACGGTAAGCAGATCTTGTGTTAAATAAATACTTTTTTTAAAAATCACAATGTACATAGAAAATACCCAGGCCGATACAAATAATAATAAGTATGACTGTTTGTTCGATTCTTCAACGTGTGAGGAATCGAACCGGCGACCATTGAAAGTAAAGCGGTGTGCTAAACCGTTCACCAATGAAGCTGTTAATATGTGTTAGTTTGTTAAATATTGTAGTGATATTATATTCTTATGTCTGTTAGAAACTAAAACCATTACGGCCCATTAAGTATTATATAAGTATACTCATACAAACAAACATTGTAAAAAAACAAATAAATATTTGCGCTGCTTAACATTTCTAACATACATAATATTCGACGTAACTTAGTTATTTCTGTGTTTAAAATCGCCAAATTTTTACCATCAAATATTACATCATATTGATGCTACTTACAATGCAATATAAATCTCTGTTAAGCACGTATAAAGTCATAGGTCATACTTTATTCTCACATAAAACTCCGGTGAGGTCGTAAAGTAAGTCTGTGATATTATTACCCAGTGCCCAATAGTACGGGTAAAGAATCCGTAGTAATAAGGGTTGGTATTAGGTCCAAAATATCGCAGTCTCCGCCCTGCCCGCCGCCGCAATATTATTAAAAATAATTCCTCACTTTTATTGCTTCCATTTAGGTGTAGCGTCACTATAATAAATATCTTCTTTGTTGTTATGACAGCTCCCGTAATTATTTTGGTTACAATTAGTGCATTTTTGTATTGTGCATTTCTTATGACAAACATATAAACGAATATTAATTTTAAAATCTCGTCGGATGTTAATTTAGAATTGCATTCATTATTTAAATAAGATTTCTCTTTTATTTTTTATTAGTTTGTATCTGTGACCTTGACCAAATGAAAATGAATTAATAATCCAACCCCATAAAAGCCAAATAAAAAACTTTCATTTGTTAACTTCAAAAATGACGATATTACATACAATTTATTTAACAGCCTAAAATATTAGATTCAGGCAATTACTTTTGAAAATGACGACACTTCAATACAATCTTTGATCTCACTATCAACCCTTTACAACCCTTTTTCTTTATTAATATTTAAATAATAGGCTAAGAAATAAATTTCAAGCTTCTATCTTTGTAAATAACAATACGTCCATATAATTTAACTCCCCTTTCAACCCTTTACAAAGCAATTTTTCTTTATATATATTTAATCAATAGCCAAAAAAAATTTTTATATTAATAAATAAACACAAAAATATTAATCTAATTTATATTAAAACACTTCATTTAATATGCATATGGATAATAGACGTTAGACAAGCTTAAAGCAAAGGGCAAACTCAATTCTAAAATACTGAATACACAAAAAAGTGTAGAATATATGTATATGAATAACAAAATATAATGTTTTAAACAAAAATAAACGTACTAATGTTACAATAAATACACAAAAGTATTTTATATATATTAGCGTAAAACTATTTAAATTATAGTTCGTAGCACTTCGTAGCTGATATAGCAGTACGTAGCAAGTCTGTCGACATCTACTTATAAGCGTTACGACAACTCGCTAAAGTATTTAATTGTAATGATAATAAAATATTGTTTTTTATATTAACACTAGCTACTCGCCCCGGCTTCCCACAGGTGTACATATATTATATATATAAACCATCCTCTTGAATCACTCTATCTATTAAAAAAATCCGTTGCGTAGTTTTAGAGATTTAAGCATATAGGGACGGACAGACAGCGACAGCGACTTTGTTTTATACTATGTAATAATAATAATAGTCAATAATCTGATTCTTTACCATTAATGTAGTCATATTCTACGATAGGTTGTTCTATCTATATAATGTACCACATCTACCTGCGAATAATAAAAAATAGCTTCAATTATAAATTCTCTCACATTAAGTATTAAAATGCTGCTATATCCTAATGGATTGGGTATTTTGCTACCTTTATACGGGTCGATCGTCATTTTGATCCGCAATCCATATAAAGTACAAAAATTCAAATCCTGCAGGATCAATTTGTTTTCTCGCATTATCCACTGGGAGTGGTCTGCGCTCCGCCCTCATCCACTATATATATGCTATCGCACTCTAATTTTTATCTATCTTTGCGAAATAAAGTCACTTAAATCACAATCGTCCAGTTATTTCATGATCACATAAAACGTTTCTTTTATATTTCCCATTAATTACTTCATGTTTAAATAGTATTTAATAACCCTAATTTTGTTCTATTTTTATTATTGTTAATATGGGTAATGTAAGTCGAAATGAAATATAATGAAAAAAATTGGTCAGTTTTCAAAGTCGTAAACTCAAAAATCAATACATCCGATCCATCTGTTTCTTCTTTTTTTGTACGAGAACACATTCAGTCAAATAGATTCAGCTCGGTTTTTCCATGATTGTGAAAAGTCAGGGGCGTGTCTGGTTCGCATCCGCCCAGCGGAGGTGCGCGCTCGACGGACAGTTGAAAAGATTCCGCGCTGTCGAGTACACGTCGACGAGACCCAAACTAAAATAGTTACCGTGCCATAGAGACCGCCGCTGCGAGGTGAGTACACTCTAAAACATTGTTATAAAATATGTGTGTATTAATAGGTGTTCATAAAATAAAATAATTAAATTCGTTATTGTTAAAAAGTGAGAAATTCTATTTTAAGTTATGGTTAAGTTACTTCAGAAACTGTGTTGAAATAGTCCAGCTACATTCAAGTCAAATAGTTTTTTATTAAGAAGAGTATATTAATATGTGTTCATAAAATAGAATAATTAATTTCGATATTGTTAATAGGTGAGAAATAACATTTTAAGTTATGGTTAAGTTAATTCAGAAACTGTGTTGAAATAGTCCAGCTGCATTCAAGTTAAATAGTTTTTTTTATTAAGTATTTACATGAATAAGATATTTAAGTAAATTAATAATATAACATTAATGGAGTTTTCATTAGAGCAGTCTCTAAATATTTTGTTCTAAAATTAGCATATTAGAAAAAACCCTTTCAATATTCGAAAAAAATTTGTAACAAATGAAAATACCTTTTGTTTTGTAGCTATAGAATAAACAAGTCAATCTAGACTCCTAGGAGATATTACAGATAATCGATTCGAATTCTATTTTATAGTAAATTAGTTTGCGATAATATAGAAATATTTCCCACTACTATACCTATATTACTTAATTTTTTTGAGATAAGATTTTTATTAAAATAAACAAGATATTAAAATAAACAGCACTTTGTTTTAATTTCTCTTGTTGAATGTCGTTACGTAATATTTATTTATTGGTATATATTGTGCTGTGATTTAATCAAAAGTTATGTTTTTAAGTGCAGTTTAACATAATAATTTTATTGAAAATTTATATCCCAACTCGAATCTTTGAAATATTAATATTTTACGTATATATTGCAACCCTTCGCACTGAGATAATGATAGTTTTATAAGAAAAATTACGGCAACTCTTTTGTTAAAAAATGTATGTTATGTTCACCTATTCCATTTTTTTAATAAGGTTTTTTTAAGACGTCTGTTCATATTTCATTGTATATTGTATTTTATATTAAAATAGGTAATGATCATAGTTATTATTCAATCAACAAATAAAATATTTATCGAAGAACTTACTTATAAATGATTCATTTTCATATAATATATTTATATAGTACATGATTAGATATAGTTCGATGTTGAATTAAAATTATTATAAATCTATTAATCTAATATAATTGATAATACTTTCAGACAATTACTTCAACTTGTTCAAATCATGGCGTTGACGAAAAATACAACTTTTATTTAAATGGTAACCTTTTTGAATAACTCAATTAGCACAGCGAATTTTCATACAAACATAGTACTTATATGTCACGTTGATATAGTGGAAAATATTAAAATTCAGTGATTTATTATCATAATCTAAAATTAAAATTAATTTATGAAAAATAAAGTATCTAAAATTGGAGTAGATTATAATAAATAAGATTATAAAAAATAAGTGAGTGACAAATATCCAAACAACATCTTTGCTTTCAGATTTATAACATTCGATAACAAAATAGAATAAACAATTAATTTACGGCCTATTCTGTTTTCAGAAAAAAAATGGCAATTAAAATTATATCGTAATTTAGTCACATTTATTACTATTGGTTTATCTTATTAAAAATGAAATAAAAAAATAATATTTCGTGACCATTCATATTAGGCTTTTTTAAATTTTATTTCGTTCTCTGGAGTAGGTTGTAGTAAAAAGCTCTGGTCATCTATAGGATAACGCAGCGATAAATATATGTTTGATAGTTTAAAAGTAAACTTTATCATAATAATAAAAAATAGTTATTTTCAATTCCATCAAAATATACTATCGTCTAGGTATGGGTTTTAAGTAGACAGAATTAAGAATACCTGCAATTGTATTTTTGTATTGTACTATATATTTACAATACAATAAGAATACAGTCGTAACCGTTACGTTACGTTACGGTACGTTAGGCATATAATATCCATTAACCCATCTTCCTACTATAAGCAGAAATTTGTTCACTTTGGATGTTAATAAGATATCACGGTATGCGCTATCAATTATGGAATATTAAATATTCTGAGAGGGGATTGTAAGTAATGATAACGAGTAACCTCATTGCTAGCAATTTCAGATCGATTCTAACGCGGTCCCTCCTATAAAATGTCATTTTTATTTCCTGGTGAATTCACAATGCAGTTCTACATAAGAGCTGTTCAAACGATGGCCCGCATGACTTGCGGCCCGCGGCTGCAATTGGTGCGGCCCGTTAAATATATATTTTTTCTTTTTTTAAATAACAATACTTTTGTAGAGAGAAAGTTATATTTTTTTATACTCCCAAATGAGTTTATCAGTAAATTATGTTTTCTGCTGCTTCTATAAGCATGCACTGCATCTAGTTACTACCACTAATATTAATGTTTTTTTTGACTTGATTTGTAAAAGAAAAATTACTATCTACGATAAAAGTAATACGATAATAAAATAGTGACATTATACCTGCATTTTGTTTACATAAATATTTTGCGGCCCCTCAATAGATTTAGTCATTTTTATTGACCCTATATTCTATGTAGTTTGAACGGTCCTGACTAAATGACCTGATTTCGTGCTTATCCTATTTCTCTCAACGAGTTAGCCGCCGGCTTATACCTTTGTAACACACACAGAGCTCCATCCATTTATTCCATTCAATTATCATCAGAGGGATATTAGAATATTACAATTTGGGGCGAAAGGTGATTGTTAGTAATGTGGACTGATGATATTATTGCTAGCAATGTACCATATCAGATTGAACTCCACGCGGCTCCACCTGGAAACCATCGTGATAAATTCTTGGTGAATTTGTCACGATGCGCTAACTGACTTGATCTCATGCTCATATTATCATCCTCCACTGGTGCCCCGATAGCATAAACTGTTAGTGCAAGCGGGTGCACTGTTCCGTTATCATCCATAAAAAAAATAGAATTAAAAATCTTGTATTAATGTTGATATCTTAACATATGTACACAAAAATTAGGTATTTGATAATATCTACTAATATATAAAATTCTCGTGTCGCAGGTTTCGTCTTTATACTCCTCCGAAACGGCTTGACCGATTTGGACGAAATTTTATATGTATATTGAGTAGCTTTGAGAATAGGTTTGTAACAAATTTTTATACCCGTAAGTGTTAAGAGTGGATCCCCCAAAAAAGTTTCGTTTTTTTCTAATTTATTTTTTAGTATAAAAAAAAATTTAAAAAAAGAAACTTTTTTAGGGGATTTACTCTTAACACGTGACATTAAAACATACAATAAACCCTACATTTTCACCGTTTGATCAACAACCTCTAATTTTTAATAGCGATTTTAATTTATATGGCAATACAACGTTTACGGAGTCAGCTAGTATACGCTAATTCTTTCTTAGTTTTTAGTCCTACGTGGAAAAGAGCAATTGGATCCTATAATACTGTAGGGAAATTTTTAACAGCGCATATGAAATCTTTTACAAAAGATTTAATTGCATGCCTTGTCCGCCAACACGGGGCGATAGGCAATGATTCTTATCGTGAACTTATTGAAAAAGGGGCCGGGAACCGAATTCCTATCGCGCATAAATCAGGCGCACAAGTATTTCTTTCGACCGTTCCTACTATGTTATTGCCTTCATTGGTGTTTTACAACTGATATATATCACTATACCGCCGATATGTACTATTATCCCGCGACTTCGTTCGTGTGGAATTTAACTTTATTTTTCTAAAATAAAAGTAGCCTAAGTTACTCCTTCTAAAAATGTCCAGTAAAAATCTGTCCAGCCATTTCGGAGATTAGCCGGAACAAACAGATAGATAGGCAGACAAAAATTGTAAAAAATATTATTTTGTTGTATATACCGTATTTATAATTATATGCTTGTAGTAAAAAACGATGATTTCAATATTACAAACAGACACTCCAATTTTATTTATATGTATAGACTAGCTGTCCCAGCTGAACGTAAATAAGTAAACGTTATTTTGCCTTCAAATAAAAAAAAAATTAGGGGTGGACTACCCCTAACATTTAGGGGGATGAAAAATAGATGGCCGATTCTCAGACCTACTCAATACGCTCACAAAATTTCATGAGAATCGGTCAAACCGTTTCGGAGGAGTATGGGAACGAAAACTGTGACACGAGAATTATATATATAATATGAAGACTTGTAAGTATCGAATACGTAACGTTTATTGTTTTCAAACCCCAATTGCGGATGTGATAAAACAAATCCATCTGTATTTCTTTATATACCTATCTATTAGTTTTATGGAATCTTTTTTAATTAAATATTATGTCAATAAATCTATATTGTTAATGGTCGATGTTTAAAATTCACTCTTCTTAATTTTTTAACATACTAGTTTTTATGCATTATTAGAGAAATAATACAATTATATATAACTATTGCCTGTCTGGTTTTCTATAATAATTGGTTCTATATTTATATATTAATACTTGTAATAAATAAATTAAAAAAATTGTAATTTTTACAAAACACTTAGACGTGGTTCTCCTTTCTAAGTGTTGTGCAGAAAGTTTTTGTTTATAAGTTATAGTGTTTGACAATACAAACATCGTATTTTCTGTTAAAACATACTTACTCTGAGCAAAGCCTACTACACTCTAAACGATTACTTATATGAAAAACGTGCATGGCAAAAGACACTTAAATCTAAATTATATAACACAAAGGTGACTGACGTAATGATCTATCAACGCACAGCCCAAACCACTGGACGGATCGGGCTGAAATTTGGCATGCAGGTACATAGATGTTATGACGTAGGCATCCGTTAAGAAAGGATTTTGATATATTCCACCCCTAAGGGAATAAATTAACACGAAAGAAGCCGCAGGCAAAAGCTTGTAAGTAAATAAGTTTACTTACAAAAAGCAAATTCAGTTCAGCTTCTAGCCAGATCTTCACAATTAAATTTGTAGACTATACTTCGTCAACGTCAGAAGATATATTAATACAAAAAACTTGACTTTTATTTAACTTTCAAACTAAAAGCACTGAATAAAATATTTTTCTTTGTTTCTTTCTTTCTTAAAATTTAAATGTAATGAAATGGCAGTTGTAATTATTAACAGGGTAACTATTTCTTTTTTTTTGTCAATTAATGTTGTATTAGAGAAACAAGCTGGTGGATGTAAAGATGTACATATTATTGTCTCGCAAACAACCGTTACTAAGTTACAATTTTTTTCTCTTTTTGTGTATATTTCGATAACAAATCTAAATATGTGGCGTAAGCGCAACATTTTTTTTTGTGTCAATATATGATAATATGACAAGTAACTCAGTCAGTGTATATTATACTCATTTATCACTGAGTCAATTCTGAGTTATTAGCAATATAGTACTTATTATATAATCCTTTTGTTGGACAAAACTACTTACGCGTGTTGTTTATATTAGACTTCCAGGAAACATTGCAGGGGGAATAATGGTCAGTTCTTAATATTGCACAGCTTGTTGAATGTTACAAATTCATTGTAAACATTGCGTTCTTGGTATTTACAGAGCACACGCACTTTTGTTTTATGAATTACTCAGTTATAGAGGTCAAGCTAAATATGTCACTTAAAAAACTAGTGAATGTATACATAATTATCAGTGAATAAAAGTAAAGGTTGATACATTATGGCTTACGCTGATGAACATTACCCTGGTCGACAAGTCTTCTTCATATTTTACTGTTTTTGGGTATTTTTATAGCTCTTGGTATGAAGAAAATACTGAGAGATTGCTAATAGCTTCAATTTTTTCTTCAGCTGCAATATAGGTACACAGTATTATCATTTTAACGAAAATGTATAGAAAATTGCATACATTACGTTAACAAAATTTCTATTGAACATTATCAATATCACCACAAATGCAGCAAAAACTATCGGGATTCATTACACAACATCTTGTTGACGAAGCCATATTGAAAACAACAACAAAATATATTTCAGTGCCCAATAAAAACGCATATCTAAGTTGAACCAGTTGAACATTGTTAATGAGGGAAGTTAGCTGTAACTCAAAAACAAAAGCTGTGAGAGAATAATTGTTGCTATATTCAAACAATACGCATTAATTCGAAGTAGAAACGGAAAAATCGAAGGGAACAAACAATTTTATTTTGTTATACAAACAAGTAAAAAATGTGATGCGTTTTATTTAAGACCTTTAAATAAAAACGCATTAAATTTTTTACTAAATAGATAGAGTAACGTGGTTCTAGAGGAAGGT